TGCCCTTTTAAGGAGCTCTGGTAGCCTAGTGGTTATGAATTGGGCTGCAAACTGCAAGGTCAGCAGTTCAAAACTACCAGCTGTTCTGTGGAAGAAAGATGAGGCTTTCTGCTCCCGTAAAGATTTACGGCCTCAGAAACCCTGTATAAGATCACTATGAGTTGGAACCGACTCCATGGCACATAACAACAACAACATATTTAATATATGGAGCCCTGGTATGACATTGTAGGATAAGCACTGGACTGCTAACCATCAGATTGGTGGTTCAAACCCACTAGCCACTACTCAGAAATCGTATACAGAGTCTCTGTGAATTGGATACAACTCAATAGCTCATCACAAAAACAATACTTTGTATATATAAATATTGTATATATATACAATCTTGAAACACTGTTTAATCCATCTGTTGTTGTTGTTTTAATCAAACTCATTATGAAATGCCGTTGAGTCAGTTCTGACTCATAGCAACCCTGTATAGGGTTTCCAAGGAACAGCTGGTGAGTTTGAGCTGCCAACCTTGCGGTCCAGTGCTTTATCCCATAAAAGCATCATATCAAATAGGAAATGCAGAGGAAATTGGCCAATACTCTGAAATAACAAAAAGTCCCTTTGAAAATAAGAACATCTTCTGACATGTGGAAGATGTATGAGTCATCGATTGGGGAGATTACCAGGTCATGTGTATCCTGCTTATGACTCCTGACACTTGTGGACTTAAATCAATAGAAATCAAGGCATTCTTATTTTTTAAGTATCCTGAAGCAATGGCACATTACTTTGTGTAACTAACCTGTCACAGAAGCTTTGCATTCTAATGTCTAATTGAAATTGCTTCATCTCACATTCAGTTCAGAGTCTTCTTTTGTGAATGGAGTCCACAGTCTGTATTTTAACAAGCCTTTCAAATGATTGTGATGTTCACTGAAGCTTGCGAATTACTCCACACAGACAATGTTAAGTGGAAGGATATTAGTAAAGATGAATAAGAATCTCCTATCTTTCTTGTGGACTCCTGTTGTGGCACTGTAGGATCAGCACTGGACTGTGAACCACAGGGTCAGCAGTTCAAATCCACCAGCTGCTCCTCTGAAATCCTATACAGGGTTCCTATGAGTTGGAACTCACTCAATAGCACTTAGCAACAACAATGATACCTTTTATGAATAACCTGACATAGTGGTTAATTATTTCAGCTGCTAATCAACCTACCTACCAGGTTCTGCAAAGGAGAAAATTATGGCAGTTTTCTTCCATAATGATTACAGCCTTGGAAACTCTAGGAGACAGTTCTTATAAGCTCAATATGAATTGGCATCAACTCTGTGGTAATGGGTATCTCTTTTTGTATCATGCTTAGAAAGATTGGAAGATTAAACAATCTACCATAAACCAAAACCAAACTCATTGCCATCATGTTAATTCCAATTCATAGCTGCCCTAAAGGAGAAAGTAGAAATGCCCATAAGGTTTCCACAGCTGTATTTGAGTGCCTTCCAACTTGAGGGTATCATTTCCCAGCACTATATTAGATGGTGCTTCACTGCTATTCACAAGGGTTTCACTGGCCAATTGTTTTCAATTGGATTTCCAGGTCTTCCTTCCGAGTCTGTCTAGTTTAGAAACTCTACTGACACCTGTCTACCGTGAGTGAGTCTGCTGGTATTTTAAATATCAGTGGCATCAAAGACATCATATATGAAAAATGCAAAACCCACCCATCTACCCTGTCATCAAGTACATTTCCACTCATAGTAACCCAATGAGACAGAGTAGAACTGCTGCATAAGGTTCTGAGACTGTAAATATTCACAGAAGCAGAGAGAACCTCAGCTTTCTCCCACAGCAGAGCTGGCAGATTTGAACTGCTGACCTTGTAGTTAGCAGCCCAATGCTTAACCTTCCACACCACCATGGCTCCTGAAGAAAGCAAAAGATCATCAAAAAGACTGAAAAGAAAGAAAAGACAAATGTTAGAAGAGACTCTGAAACATACTGTGGAACATAGACAAGCTAAAGGGAATGGAAGAAAGGAAGTAAATGAATTGAGTGGAAATTTTCAAAAAATCATTTGACAAGACAAAGTAAAGTATTTAAATGAAACGTGTAAAGACTGGAGTCAGAAAACCAAAAGGCAAGAACATGGTCAGCATTTCTGAAGATGGAGAAAACTACAAACATCGAGTTGTCATGAAGGATTCTATAGGCAAAATATTGAATGACACAGAAACTAGCTAAAGAATATAGAAGAAATACGCATCCGCTGTGCCAAAGCTATTCAGCACTCAACTATTTCAGGAGGTATCATATGATCAAGAACCTATGGTGTTGAAGGAAGGAGTTTAAGCTGCACTGAAATCATTGATAAAAAACAAGGCTCCAGGAATTGACAGAATGCCAACCAAAATACTTCAACAAAGGAATGCAGTGCTGGAGATGCTCATTTGTCTATGCCAAGGAATTTGGAAGGCAACTGACTGAATGATCCATTTTTGTGCCCATTCTAAAGAAAGGTAATCCAATGAAATGTGAAAATGTTTGAGCAATATTATTAACATCACATACAAGTAAGATTTTGCTGAAGAAAATGAAAAAACGGTTGCAGCAGTACATCTCAGGAAACTGACAGAAACTCAAGTCAGATTCATAAGACCAATAGATGTTATTGCTGATGTCAGATGGACCATGACTCAAAGCAGAAAATACCAGGAAGATGTTTACCTGTATTTTATTGACTATGCAAAGACATGTGACTATGTAGATCATAACAAATTATGAATAACATTGTGAAGAACAAGAATTCCAAAACACTTCACTGTGCTCATGCAGAACCTATACAAAGATTAAGAGGCAGTCATTCAAACAGAACAGGGGTTTAAAATTAAGAAAGGTGTACATCAGGATTGTATCTTTTCATTATATCTAGTCCATCTGTATGCTGAGCAAATGATCTGAGAAGCTGGACTATATGAAGAAGAACACAGTATCAGGATTAGAGAAAGATTCAGTATCAACCTGTAATATGCAGATGACACAACTTTGCTTATTGAAAACTAAGAAGACTCAAAAGTGGAGATCAAAGACTGCAACCTTCAATATGTATTGCACCTCAATGTAAAATCCTCACAATTGGACCAATAAGCAACATCATGATAAACAGAGAAAGGATTAAAGTTGTCAAACATTTCATTCTATTTGGACCCACAATCAATGATTATGTAAGTAACAGTCAAGAAAACAAATGACATGTTGTGTTGGTCAAATCTTCTGCAAAAGACGTGTTTTAAAAAAAGAAGCGTTAAAAAGCAAAGATGTCACTTTGAGGACCAAAGTGTATCTGAACCAACCACGATATTTTCAAATGTCTCATATGCATGCAAAACATGAACAATGAACAAGGAAGATCAAAGAAGAATTAAAATCTTTGGTTTATGGTGGTGAATAATATTGAATATGTTATGAACTACTAGAAGAATGAACAAACTTGTCTTGGAAGAAGTACAGCCAGAATGCTCTTTAGAAGCATGAACAGTAAGACTTTGTTTATGTACTTTGGGAATTTTATTAGGAGGAGCCAATCTCTGGAGAAAGATCTTGCTTGGTAAGATGGAGTATCAGTGAAAAAGAAAGGTCTTCAATGAGATGAATTGACAACAATGGCTACAATAATAGCTCAAGTATAATGACTGTGAGGTTGGTGCAGGACTAGGCAGTGTTCTGTTCTTTTGTATATGAGGTCACTATGAGTCAGAACAGACTCGACAGCACCTAATGACAATAGCAACAACATAGTAACACATTCCATGAGACTGTCCAGCTAAGAGGAATTAAGAAATCGCCTACTGGAAAGCACTTCGATAAAACCATTGCCCTCAAATCAATTGTGAATCCATGTGTTACAGAGGAGAACTGGGCCATAGAGTTTTCTTGCCTCTGTACAGAAGCAGAACTCCAGGCCTTTATTTCATGGAGCTGTTGAATGGATTTGAACTAATTAGCTTAGTTGTTAAGTGCTGTTGAATCGATTCTGACTCATAGTGCCCTGTACAGGGTTTCCAAAGAGCAGCTAGTAGGTTTGAACTGCTGACCTTGTGGTTCGCAGTCCAATACTGATCCTACAGCACCACACCAGAAGTCAAGTGCAAACCATTTGTACCAACTAAGGACCTCATACTTTGATAAAAAAAAAAGATCTATAGCTTCAATACTAGAATGTTCATCAAGAGCTTCAAATAAGGGAGGAAGAAAAAGCATAAAAGATGTAAAGAAATTTACATTGTTAAGTCATAGCATGTATATTATGTGCCAGCAATATGCTAGGTGTTTTGAGGATTTGGAGTTTAAGTCTCATTGTCAATTAACCAATCGTAGTTACGAGTTGGGCTTCGAACCTCAAGGTCAGCAGTTTGAAACCACCAGCGGTTCCGCAGGAGAAAGGTGAGGCTTTCTGCTCCCATCAAGATTTACAGCCTGTGAAACCCTATGCAGGGTCTCTATGAGTCAGAACCAACTCCACGGCACACCACCACTACCAACGTTTGGGTAATGAAGACTGAATGTGAAATGAGAGATCAGAGAATGAATAGAGATGGGATGCTACAGTGTCAAGGAAAAGTTGGAGAATGTGTTAGGTTTAGAAGAAAGTGGAGGAACTTTATTGACCCAAATAAGATAATATTTGTCTGTAGTTAGCTTGCTTCTGTGGATACTTAATATTACATAATTTCCCTGTTTTGTTGTTAACTAGAGTAAAGGGAACTCACACTATTGCCTGGTACACTCACTTGTCCTTCTTATGTAAGAAAGGAAATCCTGACTTAAGCACAAAGCCACAGAAGAAGTTAATATTCCTATGTCTTAGAATTGAAACTTTCAAAGGACAGATAAAGAGTTCATTCTTTAAGATGCATTTTTCTTGAATATTTCCAACAAAAAACAACTGGACTCAAAAACTGAGCTGGGTGAAAAGGTCAGAGGGAGAGAAAGAAAAAGGAAGAATGAGTTCATCGAAATCATCTGCATCACCACATACAGGTAAAATTTCCAACTTTCCCTTTTCCTCCATAGATCCCTTCTCAGAGAGAAGGGATAAAGGGAACAATTGTTAAGTGCTATGGAGTAGATTCTAATTCATAACAGCCTTGTATAGGGTTCCTAAGGAGCAGCTTTTGGTTTGAACCACCAACCTTGTGGTCAGCAGTCCAGTGCTTATCCTATATTGCTAAACGAATAGAAGAGACACAATATGCAGAAAAGTAAGAAAAGAAAGAGACAGGGGGAGGAATAGGAGTAAGAGAGAAGATTAGAAGAGTTTTTGCTAGGCTGGAAAGCTTAACTAGGCTTGAGGTCAGGGTGAGCTACCAGCTTAAGATACCTACTCTTTCTGTAAGTCATTGTGTCACCTTGGCCAAGTGACTTTTCTTCTCTAGAATTTATATTCCTTATTTGTAAAATGCATGTTGACTGGAGGAGAGCTACTAAATGATTGTCAATGTCTTAACTGCCCAATTTACAAAGAATTGGGAAAGTAAAACACTGAAGAGAGGAGAGTAGGAGAAAAGACAAGAAAAGCAGAGAGGTGAAAGATAAAGGAAGAGAGAAACATGAGAAAGAAGCAGAGAGATAAAACTATTTTTTAAACTGGGAGACTTGGAAAGGAAAATTTGCAGATTGCTCTGAGTTTATGAGTCAGAGTCTTAAAATGAGTAATGGATTACTCCATCCACTGATTCTAAAAGTACAGTCCCACACCAGCAGCATCTGCATTCCCTGGGAACTTGTTGGTTCTACCCTTACAAAACTAAATTGTTAACTCTTCGGGTGAGACTCAGCAATCTATGCTTTGACAAACCTTCCTAGCAATTCTGATGCGTGCTGAAGTTTGAGAATTATCTGATACAGATAATATGAATTGAGGAAAACGAATAAGGATGAAAAAAATCTCTGTATCTCTTTTGCATCTTGCTTAGGGAAGACTGGCCACGTTTGTGTCTTTCTTTTTCACAGAAGGAGGATTCTTCTCTTACCAAATATGTGTATGGACCACTGCTGGGGTCTCCATCCTACTTCTCAGTGCCTGTTTTGTCACCAGATGTGTTGGTGGGTTCTGAAGGTCAAATTCAATCTAATTCTTCCTATTGACTATTGGGAGTAAATTTCAGTGCCACCTGCAGGTTTACTTCTTCCACAAATGATCTTTCTGTTCCCCATTTTCTTCCTATTAATCTCCACACTACTATTCAAGTCACAGACCCCAACTAATGCAGAACTGTTAATAAAGTTTGCTGACCTCTGAGGCATTGTTCATGGAAGACATTTTGCAACCATTTGGTGGCCCTTTATACCTTTGCACTTCTAGTGTAGTTTTCCCTAAAAGGTGCTAGCTTGAAGCTCTGGACTCACTGGTCAGGACCAAATACATTGTAATTTTTTATTTTTTGTGTAGGAACTGCAGAGAGTGTTAAACTTGGCATGAGAGAGAGTACAAACACATTTGTTTTCCTCTGGGTCTTTGGTTCTGAAATAAAATACATTCATCTTCACAAATCAAGAAAACTTTGAAATGTGAATTCCCTCTCCTTTCTTTGAGTAAGTGAGTCACAGTGCCTCTCATTGTAAAAGGAAAAAGTAGATCATGATACAACATCATGATAATTATTGGCTCTTTGATTATGTATATAGAAATTAGAAAGTTTTTTTTTTTTTTATCAAAAAGCTCAGTGAACATTGACTGTGCCCTTTTCCTTACAGTGACGTATCACATCTTTCAACTCTGTGATGAGGAAAAGGTCAAGCCACGTGAGAATAATATCATAGAACTCTCCTGTTACAATGATGGTTCAGGTATATAATAATCCTCAAGTTTGAACACCAAAATTGATGTTAACATTTCCTGGGCTTTTAGATTGCTTTTGGAGTCCTGGTGTGGCTCTGCAGGATAATGCACTGGACGGCAAGGTCAGTTTGAAGAGCAACGTGGGTTCGAACCCACAAGCTGCTCCTCAGAAATCCTATACAGGGTAGGAACAGACTCGATGGCACTTAACAACAACAACAGATTGCCTTTAAAATAGGTAAACTACAATTTGTCCTGCTTTTAAAAACAAAATGTAAAGATTTACCAGCAGTCTAAGAGAATAATAAGAAGTTGGTAAGAGCACAGGATTAGAACTTTGGAAATACAGGGATCTTAGAGGGGTTCTAGTTAACTTTTAGAATATATGTGAGGTATATGTATGAACATTAAGTCTGTAAGTGGAAGAAGTTATTCCTAGGAGTGTACTTTGGTGGGGATTTTTCCATCATCTATTTCCAAAATGAGATGAAGTAGAGAAAAAATTATATAGAGAATTTGGAAGTGCTTCACAAATATAAAATATATACCCTCTGCTCATAGACATAGTTCCAAGTCTTTTTGTATTCCAAAATGTCACATGACTCTAGGAAAGTGACTTCTTTCTCTGGGTTATCATTCCCTCACCTTTAAATTGAGAGAGATTGAGCTAGTTATTTTTAACAAGCCTTTAAAGGGTGGCATTGTGTAGTTCTGGAAAACGAGTTCATCTGTGCAACCACAGGTTAGATATTTGGTTGAGATGATGTGTTGGGGCAACAAAAGAGACACTTTCTTAGAGATCACCATATAAAATGCATAACTTTCTCTGCCCTTGGCAGTTACGGACAGATAACAGAGTTGTACATGAAGAGCATGTTGTTGTTAAGTGCAATGAGTCCTTTGCATATGGTTTCCAAGGAGCAGCTGGTGGGCTTGAACAACTGACCTTGTGGTTAGCAGTCCAGTGCTTATTCTACAATGTCACCATTAGGACTCCAACATGAGACAAATTGTATACAGGTAATCCCTGACTTACAACAGTGTTCTGTTCTGAAAACTCTGTCATAAATCCGTTCTTATCTAAGCCCAATCTTTCTTTCTCTCTCTTTCCTTATTGCTCTCTCACTTCCTCTTTTTCATTATTATTGCCTTTTATTATCAGTAGCTTTTTAAATCCAACCTTTGTCTTTGGAGGTTGGCATGAGAATGATAATATTATCAAATTACATGCTGCAACATTGTATTAGTAATGATAATAAGTAAAAAGGAAAATAAGACAGTCATAAATCATAACTCAAATACATCTTAAGTCAGGGACTCCCTGCATATGATTGCATCTATTGGCACTGACATCTAGAAAATAAGGATTATGTAACTGCTACAAAAACAAGAAAATTGCAGTTTTTGTTTGTTGACTCTGGATAGTAAGATGTGGGACATGAACAATGAGTTTCAGGGTTTCTGACTGTAAACTATGGGTTCTATGAATCCAAAGGGAACTTTCTGCTTACCTACTCCGTTCATTTGGGACATTCACTGAAACTTCTCTCCTCCTAGGTTCTGTCAAGAATTGCTGTCCGTTGAACTGGGAACATTTTCAATCTAGCTGCTACTTCTTTTCTACTGACACCAGGACCTGGGCATTAAGTGTGAAAAACTGTTCAGATATGGGGGCTCATCTGGTGGTTATCAATACACAGGAGGAGCAGGTAGTTGGGGTATAGCCTCCTCCAATATCAATTTAGCATCCTTCATGGGGCCTGTACTTGTAACTGTATATATTAAGCTATTCCAAGTTGAATTTATTTTCATGATTAACAGAACTTAAGGGAATTTAGTGAGTTCTTTTATTGTTTATTGTTGTTGTTAGGTGTCATCGAGTTGGTACCAATTCATGGTGAATCTAGGCATAACAATGAAATACTGCCCTGTCCTGGCCAACCTCACAATTGTTGCCATGCTTGAGCCCATTGATGCTGCCACTTGACCAATCCATCTCGCTGGGTGTCTTCCTCTTTTTCTATCACCCTCCACCTTACCAAACATGATATCCTTCTCCAGTGACTGGTCCCTCCTGACAATATGTCTGAAGTATGAGAGACAGTTTGGCCATCCTGGCCTCCTAGGGGCACTCTGGCTGCACTTCTTCCAACACAGATCTGTTGGTTCTTTTAGCAGGCCGTGGTACTTTCAAAAAAGAGGGTTGGCAGGTAATTTTAGAAATAGCATTGTGTTTGTGAACATTGCTGTTGTTCGTTACTGTTGTGTTGACCCCATGTACAACAGAATGAAACATCACCAGTCCTGCATCAGCTTCACAACCATTAGTATGCTCAAGTTGTGCTCCATTGTTGTGACAACTGTACGTTTTGAGTGCTCATCTTCAAGAACTTTGTGAGAAAATATTCTGTATGATCCATAAAATTTCCATTAGCAAAATTTCAGAAGTAGAGCACCAGGTGTTTCTCCTAGTCTATCTTTGAAAGCACTGCTGAAACATGTTCATGATGGGTGGCCTTGTTGTATATGAATTCCTGGTCACATAGATTCCCACATCATGACAACACACCTGTGGCCTTGCTGTATATGAATTCCTGGTGACGTAGCTTCCCACGTCATAACAACACACAAGCCACAACAGATGATGGTTATGATATATCATATTTAAAACGTAAGCAAATATTTCCCAGTTTTTATGCTAGGCATATGTAACAGCAGCTAATAAACTTTGAATGAGGTATTGAGAATCACGCTGTTTGTTGAAGGTTATTTTTTGACAGTTTAAAGCCAGAAAGTGATCCTCTATGATCTTAGAACTTCAGGTCCATTTATCTACCGTCTCTATCCACTTAAGTAACAATTATCCTCAGTATTTATAAAGAACTGAAATAATGGATCTCCTATTTATTGATTGTGTATCTTCCATAGGAATTCCTTTTCCATGCAAAACCTAAATCGAAAGAATTCTACATTGGACTGACGGACCAGATAGTTGAGGGCCAGTGGCAATGGGTGGATGGCACACCTTTCAAAGAATCTCTGAGGTACAGATATCCCCCCACTCTTTTAAAAGCTTGTTTTTTAATAAAAGACCTCCTTTTATAAAAGACCTACATTAGTACCTGTTTTCACTTACCAAAGGAAATCTGAAGAGATGAAAAACAAAATTAGTGTACAGCATTTGCTTCACAGCAAACTGTTAAAAAGAGGCAACATACACCACAAGCAGCCTAGTTCCTTCCCTGAGAATGACTGTCAGCTGAGATCTCAGTTGCATGTCGCCATAGTTTTGAACTGTGTCTGTGAGCCCTATATGTTTGTGTTATTTTAGGTTTTACATATTATTTGGCTAGGTTACATTTGGGCCTGGGAACACTCAAAAATTTTTCCCATATAAATTAATGGTAATTGATTGTTTATGACATTTTGACTTAAGAAAATTTTCAGAGGAATGATGTACTTCCGGGTTGTGGGGGAAACTCTCAATTGCCTTCTTACAGAATAATTTAAAAAGATCCCAAATATTAAAATTCAATCACAGCTGATGTGAGTTTGTTAGCACCTCCTCCTGTTCCATGGGATAATTAAGGGCCCATCCTCAGTGGTTTTAGATGCAGGAAGGGGAACAGCTGGTGTCAAAGCAAATAAAGAGAAGCACAAGGCCCTTACGTTCCCATCGGAACTACTGGTAGTAGTTGGAAACTACCAGCAGTTCCGTGGGAGAAAGATAAGGCTTTCTGCTCCTGTAAAGGTTTATAGCCTCTGAAACCCTGTACAGGGTAGCTGTGAGTCGGAACCGACTCCATGGCATATCACCACCACCACCACAAAGGAGCTCTGGTAGCGTAGTGGTTACGAATCGGGCTGCGAACCTGAAGGTCAGCGGTTCGAAACTACCAGCCGCTCCCGTAAGGATTTACACCCTCGGAAACTCTTTACAGGGTCGCTATGGGTCGGAACCGACTCGACGGCACTTAACAACAACAACAACAACACCATCAGAAGAATAAAGAAGGAAAGCAAACTTATCCACAGACTGGGCAACTTAAGTGTGAACATTCACTTTAAATTTTAATAAATGACTTAAAAACAATTTTTAAGCAATTTATTAACCCCCAAAATAAAGTGTTATAAAGCCTGACCTCTAGGATAGAGTCCTGGTGTGGCACGTCCGGTTAATGTGCTAAACCACAAGGTCAGTTTGAACCACCAGGTCTGCTGTTCAAGCTCACACCAGCTACTCTTTAGACACTACACAGAGTTACTACAGGTAAAACCAACTCTACAGCACTTAACAGCAACAATGCCTGTGGTTATAATGCCATTGGGGAGTGTGTTGACTTTGTTATGTTAATGAGAAATATTCATGTTGGGCGTGTCTGGAATTCATCTCTCTTGACAACAGCAATTAAATAAGTGAACAGGACAGAGATGGGGGCAGAGAGACTCAAAAAAAAAAAAAAAAAAGGCAATAAAGTATTTAAAAAGAGTTCTTAGAAATATAACATCTTAGGAAGCCTACTATTGTGCTAATGTAAATACATTATTGTGATTTAAATTGTGCTTTGCTCATAAGATAACAGCTCAGAATGGAAATCAACTACAGTTAGGTGTTTGCATCCGTATTTTTACTTTGTTGTTTCATAAGGTCCAAGCAAAAATGATGTTAAAACATTTTAATGAATTTACATAATAAGTAGTTTTTATTGAAAAACCCCAATAAAGGAATAGACAAGAATAAAAACGGGATTAGAACTGAATAATAGTTTATTGGAGATGCAGGAGAAACAGAGTGGAATTCAGAATCTATTACTCAAAAATTACAGTGGATGAGATAAAAATAGTACCCAGGGAAGACCCCAGATTCTTATCACAAGAATGTGGGAACCCCTTGATTTTGTCGCTTTTCTCCTAATAATGACCTTACATTAATAAAGCATTATATTTTGGAGTTTTCAATGTATTTTCTCAGTCATTAATCTAAATAGCAACTCTCTGAGATGAATCAATATTATTTATTTTAATTTAACATTTGAGGAATCTGAAGGCCATGGAGGTTAAATTTCTTTCCCAAGGCTACATATCTAGTAAACAGAGGTTCTAAGATTATTGTCCCATTGCTTTAGAAGAGTTCACTAGTCACACACCTTAACATCATTGAAAAATGCACCTAAATTAATACAAGCTCTGTGAAGTCTTGGAGTGGCACTGCAGAATAAGCAGTGGACTGCTAACCACAGAGTTGGGAGTTCAAACCCACCAACTACTCCTTGGAAATCCTATACAGGGTTGCAATGGTTGGAACCAACTCATTGGCCTTTAACAACAACTGTAGAATAAAGAAGACCTGATGGCTTAGTGTGGTACGCGTTGGGCTGTTAACTGCAAAGGTGGAATCCACAGGAGGAGAAAAATGAGACTTTCTGTTCCTGTAAAGGTTTACAGGAAACCTGATCCAGGATCGCTGAGTCCCCATCGACTTGATGGCACACCCCCACCATGTGTAGAATATAGGGAGGGAATCAAACATGATTCCATAGGTGTGCAAAGGAAATGAACTCACCAAGCTCTCAGTCCTTTCCATAGCTTCTAATTCTGTGCCTAAAGCCATGACAATGCAGAACAAAATAAAAAGTTAGCAAGACCCAATTAAGTTTCACAAACTCCATGACAAATGAGTATTTCTGAGATTCCATTTCTTCATCAATAAAATGGTGTTTTTCATTCCTACCTCACAAAATTGTTATAGAGTTAAATAACACAAACATAATTTGCCTTTCCATTTTGTTGCTGGCTCTAAAATGCCCTGTGACACTCTCTTTCAGCTTCTGGGATGTAGGTGAGCCCAATAACATAGTTACAGTAGAAGATTGTGCCACCATTCGAGACTCCTCAAATCCAAGGAAAAATTGGAATGACGTACCCTGTTTCTTCAACATGTTTCGGATTTGTGAAATGCCAGAAAGAAGCATTTTGAAAAATCTCTAAGAAAGGAAAGCAGAGCTTGAATGTGTAAAGCATGAGAAGAACATGAATACAGCTACAACCCCAACACAAGAAGTGTATGCTGCACTTCACAGGGGCTTAATGGTTGGTGCTGTAATATAAATAAAAATAGCCACTTATGAATGTTATCAGTTTTTTCCTATATTGCTATAGGGACAAAAGCTAACTGTTCCAAAATGGCTACACTAATGTCAACCCAGGAGAAATGCTTTGTCATTTTCTCTCTCTCCCCTCTCCCCTTCTGACACTGCATCAGGCAGCTGGCACCAGGCTGTTTTTCTGTTTTTTCCCAAATCTCTGCTGGAGATAGGACTCTCTCATACCACATCACCTTCCTTTCTTCTCTCCTGAAATAGGAGCCTTTTTTACCACATAGTAAAAAAAAGGACCCATAAATAAGCCCCTTCCAGCATGGAAAACCTTGGCTGTCCAGCTGGCACCACTGGAAACAGCAGCTGTTTTTGCCCATTAGTAAGTTTCCCTGTTTGTAAACCATCTTTTTCTGTAATGAACCAATGTCTTTCAGACTGTCTCCTGGTGTTTTTTTTGTTGTTGGTCTTTCAGCAAATACACACAAGGAAGCATTTTTCCCTTCTAGGTTTGAATCTAAACAATTACTTTCACATATTCTTCTCAGAATTTACCTGGCAATTTACTAGTAAATGCTGAGAAAGGAATCTTGTGTGTGTGTGTGTGTGCAGGTGGTTTGTTTGTTTTTATTTCTGTTTTGATTGTTGGGTTTTTTGATTTGTTTTGGTACATTTCTTTCCTTGGTACATGTTTGCATTGAAAACATCGGGATGTAGAGCAAGTGCTCTGGGTGGTGCAAAGGTGAAAACATTTGGCTGCTAACCTACAGGTTAGAGCTTTGAATCCATCCCGAGACACTTCAAAAGAAGGCCTGGAGATCTACTTCCATAAAATTCGTCATTGAAAACCCTAAGGATATACGTAAGGTTACTATGAACTGAGGTCAACTTAATGGTAACTGGTAGTAAAATGGCAAGTAAAAAGTTCAATAGAGAAGATATTTTGGAATGTGCCTTTGAGAAATTGCTTAAATTTAAGCTCTGTGTCAACTCCTCTCCTTTCTTGTTCTTTTTATTGTTAAGTGCATCAAGTCGGTTTCAACCCATAGCGACCCTGTATATGGTTTCCGAGGAGCAGCTGGTGAGCTTGAACCGCCAACTTTACAGTTCAAATGGCTTTGCAAATGGCTGTGGGTTAATGTGTCTCATTAACCCACAGGACCACACAAGGACTCCCCTCTCCTTTCTAGCTTCTGAAAAATCTATTTTACACTCCTGATTTCATACTGTTTTTATGCCATAGCCTAGCAAGTCTTCTCTATGCTCTCCTGTACAACAAATAAAGCACTTCCTTCTGTCATGAAACTTATCTCTGTTCAAAGACAAGTGTGTCTGACAAAGCCCCACAGCTCCTTAAAGAAAGATCAGGCTCCACCAAAGACACGTCAGCTCCACAGCTCACACTCCTGAGAATGATGAATGAATGAATGAACTTTGAACTATAGGCTAAATTGGATGAATGGGCCATGAGTGCAAATTTGAAGGACAAAACGTGTGTAGCGTGAGTAGTTGCCTTAAAGTAGAGTTTTAGACTGGATGTCTCTGGAGGAAGCCCTGATGTGGTAATCAGAGGTCAGCATAAGGGCATTGGGTATATGTGACAGGCTGTATATGGGCTTGGATTCCTGTTGTGACACTGAGTGTTAATGCACTGGACTGCAAGGTCAGTTTGACTTGTAAGGTCGGTGGTTCAAGCTCACCAGCTGCTCCTCAAAAACCCTATGTAGAGTTGCTATGAGTTGGAACTGACTCGATGGAACTTAACAACAACAACATATGTGAGTTATGGCTGGTGATGGTGGGGTGCCATGGAGTCAGTCCCAACTCATAATGACTCTGTATAGGGATTCTGAGGCTATAATTCTTTATAGGAGCAGAAAGACTCATTCTCCCATGGAGTAACTGGTGGATTCAAACTACTGACATTGCAGTTAGTAGCCCAATGTGTAACTTACTGACCTACCTAGCCTCCAATTAATTGCATGATATCATAACAATACTGATAAGTTTATTCAAGGCTATGTGAATAAAGTGTGTCAGCTTTTGCAACTATGTTCCTTACATACTAGCATTGTTGTTATTGTTGTTAAGTGTTGTCGAGTTGGTTCCAACCCATAGCGACCCTACATAGGGTCTCCAGGAAACAACTGGTGAGTTTGAACCACCGACCTTACAGTTCAAACCAACTTTGTAGCCCAATGCACTAACCCACAGTGCCACACCAGAAGTCCACACAGCATTGTTGATGTTGTTAAGCGCTGTTGAGTCGATTCCCACCCATAGTGACCCTGTATAGGGTTTCCAAGGAGCAGCTGGTGAGCTTGAACCACCGAGCTTGCAGTTCAAATGACTTTGCAGTCTGGCATATTAACCCATAGCACCATATCAAGACTCCATTGTAGAGATCCTCAAATTTTACACATGGGAATTAATGTATAACCATTGATGGATAAATTGCACTGAACATAATCCATTTTCCTTTTTAAAGTTCATTTCTCTTATGCATTTAACAATTGCTGATTTTGAAATCAGCATTTATTTAAAACCAAAAGCCATTGAACCTAAACATCATCCATTGAACATAACCTTCAACTTTCTATTCCCTTTTTTCAATTAGAAATATCAATGAAGGAAACACTGAAAGATATGTTGAGATTTTTTTTCATTATTTTTTACTGCAGGTGGTTATACATTTCTAAAATGTTCCTTCTCTATTTAAAAACGTATGGGAATGGTATTCTTTATTATTTTCCCAGTTCGTTGTTGTTAGGTGCTAATGAGTCGGTTCCAACTCATGTACAAAAGAACAAAACACTCCCCTATCCTGCGTCATCCTCACAATTGCTGTGTTTGAGCCCATCAATGCAGTTTACTTTGAGTGCCTTCCAACCTGAGTGACTCCTTTTCCAGCACTCCATCAGACAATGTTTTGTTTTTTTACATGTTTTCAGTGGCCAGTGTTTCAGAAATAGGACACCACTTCTTTCTTCCTAGTCTGTCTTAGTCTTGAAGCTCCATTGAAACTTGTCCACCCTGAGTGACCCTGCTTGTATTTGAAATACCAGTAACATCGCTTCCAGAAGCTCAAAAGGCATCACAATACAATAATGATACAATGACAAAAGAGTGCTGGTTTTTCCCCATAGTTGTTTATAATTTAATTTATAAAATGGATCTTGGTTTTTCAAAGATTGCCAAAAAAAGAAACAATTGTAAATGATTTTGTGGCTAAAGATCATTGGACTCTCAATGATACAGCCACAAAGGTCTAGAGTGGAGAGTGGGGTGGCCAGCTGATAAAAAGAGGCCGGACAGAC